TGCCTGCTTTCATATCACACCTGGGCAATTAGAAGATGGGGGGGGTGTAAAATCATAATCTCTTTTATTCTGGTGAGTCTAGGATTATCATTAAAAACAAACACTGCCCTAGGATTTAGAAAAGAAAGACAAGAGTTTTATGAAGCAATAAAAATACATAAATCAGTTGGATACTTGGAAGACAAATAAACAAGAAAATGAGTCAGAGGGAAGAGTGTTTTGAGAAAGTCGCTTCAGGGTTGAACTGGGAGGTAGAGGACAGGACACCCTCAGAGGAGAGAGAATCTTTTGGTCCTGATATGTTGAATACCTTTAGTGTAGTGGTTGTGGAAAGAGCTAGGAGAAAATGGAGGCTTTGAGGACAGAGGGTGGTCATGGGAAAATCACCAGTGGCTTTTATAAAATGGAACAGAGTTTAGAACCCTGCTACTACTAATAACCCATGGACCAATAATATCAGTTTCCTAAGAGATTCTACTGGAAATACAGACTCTCAGGCTCCAGTCAAGACCCCGGGAATCATAATCTTTATTCTGTCAAGTCTGGAGCGGATTCATTTGCAATTAAAGTCTCAGGAGCAGTGAACTAGAGCATGTCTGAATTGAGCATTTGGCTGAACTCAGAGAGATTTCTGCTAATGTGACTTTAGGTATTGCTGATGTGTCAAATGTTTCTGTAAACAATGAGCTGGAATATTAAAACAAGACCATTAACTCAGCTGTATCCCATGTGGAAATTTCAGAAGCCCTTGGCTTAGAACACGGAAGCTTTTCTGAAGGCTGTGCTTTAGCACTTGGAGGATGGTGCTGCAGGCTTGTTTACAGCAGGATGTAATGCAGAGCTCTGGATAGCAGGAACATTAGCCAGGTTCTAGTTTTACTTCCTTGGTGCTCTGTGATATTTGGGAAAATACTACCTCTTAGCCACAATTTAAAGACTCCCAAATTTTAGCCCTAACCAGAACCTAGGAGCTTTGTGCTGAGATTTTATTCTCTGGGCAAATAAGATCTAACCATTTTACCTCGTGACTCAAATGTATCCTTCTTTATGGCTCTGTAATGCTCCACTGTGGCTCCTGAGATCACAATGAAAGTGAACTAAATCAGACATGGAAGATTAATATCACCTGGTTCCTTTAATATGAGAAGTCCAAAATATAAACAAGTTAAAGTGTAAAATAAAAGAGAGGTGGTAGGAATGAGGAAGTAGACCCCGTGGAGATAGGAAGGACATTTGAAGAAAGTGCAAGAAAAGAGGGTGGAGTCAAAATGACAAAGATGTGTTATGCATACATAACAATCCTCCAGAGGCACATAATTATTATAAACATGTATTATAATAAATAAACATGTTTGGATTTAAGATATTCAGATATTACCTGCTGAGAGCTCATGCTCTTGGCATGTTCAGGACAGAGGTTGCAAATTCTGTCTTAGAAAGATACTCATCCTATTCCTCTCTATACTTTTTAACTGGAAGAATTTCACCAACATAAAGTTTGCACAAATATCTAAGCATCTCAGCAGCACTCAATGAACAAAGGTTACTACTGCTCTTGTTACCATTATTACTGCCTTTTGGTGCTTATTCTGTCAGGTTGCTTAGGCTGATGTAGGAAGAAATCTGATAAATGCATAGACTATGTGTCAATAGTGATCAGAAAACAATAAACATAAATATTTCCAAGCACAGAAAAGAGGTCAAGTAGCAGGAAAGGAACATACTGTGAAGAACAGTAACCAAAGTGATGAAGACAGAAGAGAAAGTGCGTGTCTGGAGCAACTATGGCACTCTGTGAGAAGAAAACCAAGTGGACCCCAGCAAGGGCCACAAGTATTCTGAAAAGCTCTTAGTCACTGGCACTGACCAAGCAGGGAGTCACAGCGGCAGCAGCCCTACGGTCTGGGTCACACCCTCCCCTGAATTACAGTCAATAGGTGATCTCCAGGGAGATGAAGCAGGCCTGATTGCAGGCGATATGGACAGAGCTCACTCTGATCCATCAAAGCCTGAACCTGCCTGGTTGGCACACAGGGCACTTTGACTGTTAAATGTTTGTAACTTGGAAAATAAAGTCTCTGGTGGACTTTGAAGAAACAATTTATAAATGTCTACAATTTTCAAAGGCATCCATTTATTTCATGATGTGGGCCTGTTTAAAAGATTTTATTGACTTCTTCTTATAAAACACCATCTTGTTAGACTTGTGGGTCCAAACAAATGCTGACATAGATGTGTCCTCAGGCAGGTCATAAACCAATGTGTCAGGACCATGGATGTGAACTGCGAATATGTCAGCATTCAGGATACATAGGTCAATGAGAATAATACTTTGCTATTTTGTTTTTGTTTTTGTCATTGTGGTTACTTTAGCTTTTTAAACTAAACTTGACATTGTGACCCAGACATTGTGACCCAGTCAGTGTGAATAATCTCGCACCAAGGGAGTTATGCTTTGGGTTAATCCCATTTGCTATCTCATACACATCATCTGTCTTTAAAATCTAGTGTGGCGTATCCGGGCAGCTTTCCTTTCTTGTTCAACTTCATCTACGTATTTTAAAAGTGAAGAGAGAACTGATGTCTCCAAGGCAGACATAAATCAAGATGTGATGCCTTGGGATTGCTGCTATTGACCATCAAATCTCCAATTTTATGTTAGAAAAGATTCATCCTTGGACCATGTTTCATTGGGCAGCTTTACAAGAAATGCCCATTCTGCACAGTTAATCAATTAAAATTTCTTTTCTCTTATCCATGAATATAACTAAATATAAAAGCACTAAAAGAAAACTAATCAGATTTTAAATTGCATTAACAATTCCAAAATTCTTCATAGAAAATATGAGTTAATGTTTTCTACTGCTTTGAGCCAATATAAATTTAAAATATTTTGATATTTTTTTACTAGGTATAGTTCTAACCATTATTTAGTTCTATGTATTATATCTCCTTTTTTTCCTTATAAATTCTTTTGATTCTTTCAAAATTTTCTCATTCATGTTCTGTTAGTAGATGGACCTACCACCATCCAACAGCTGAATGGAAAATCCCACAAATAAAGATAGTCCAGTTAGTTTTGGGAATCACTGAGAAACAGTCTGGTTCATTAGGGTCCTTAGCCTCAAGGATCACAAAAGATGAGAGATGCTAGAAGGAATCAACTTGAGAAAGAGAATACAGAGAAGATCAAGTGTTTATGGAATTGCTTAAACTCCTAGATCTAGCACACTGGGCTTGCGGGAGCAGATGCTTAGATGCAGCCTGGGATAAAGGTTTTTCATCCATAATTAAAATCTGAGAAAAGAAGGATATAGAAGCATGCCTGGAAAACAAAAAAGAAACTAAACTGTGATATGGTCTAACAAAGATTTACTAATCCTTTCAGAAAGCCCTGGGTTCGGGCTGCGGGTTTAGCTCAGTGGCATAAGCACCTGCCTTGCAAGCAGGCAGTTGTGAGTTCGATCCCTGGTACCAATAAAAAGGAAAAAGACAAAAAAAATAGAAAAAAGAAAAGCCCTGGGTTGAATGTTGCCCACTGCAATCATCCACTGTTGGTCAAAAATGGTGGGCCATTTATGTGCTCACCTTGTTCAGTCACCAGATATGCATGCTAAGGTGGCACCATGGGCAAGTGGCTCTGTGTGGCTGAGAGCTACAGGGCATCTGCTGACTCCACACCCCATCACAAGGCAGATGGGACTTCTAGGTAGCACAGCTCTTTGTAAACCTTATATCTCCATGAGGAGACAGAGTGAGTGAATTCCCTATATTCCTCAAGCCAGTCTGACTTCAGTTGCTTTAATTTGCAATTAAGAGACTCTACCCTACCTTCAAAGTTAAAGTTCCTCTAGCTCTTCAATATTCCAGAAAAAAGTACTAAATCAGCCTAGGAAACCTAATTTAGCCACATGCCGGCAGACACAGCAGCAATCCTGTTAACCAAGTCCCACATCCGCAGGCTCCAAATGGTTCATGTTTTTCACGTGGTCACTTACTTAAAATGAGAGATATCGGTCTTATTAAATTGAGGTGTGTGATTAAAACTGACAAATCACAGGGAAAAATGGACTTTGGTTTTACATTACCGAACAAATAAAGTCCAGAATATTTTCATTTGAAAAGGATTTACTATGATAAAAAGAAAACTTCTCAATTTCACCTCTGGCCAGAAAGAATGGCCCTAACTTATTTATCTTTCAGTAATTCTCAATATCTCTATAACAGAATGTGTTCATTTCTCAGAGAACATTGATTTATATATTAATAATGCCCTCTTTGTTCCCACAAGTGACCAAATCTACCAATGTTGAGCATGAGAGCAAAATCAAACCAGCACTCCAGGCTCATACTGGGAAGCAAATTAAATTATTTTCCTATGTGCTAAAGTTCATTTTCACTCTGGGCAGCCATATTTTTAAGCTTCTGAATTTCTGGCAGTATATTTCAATTTCTATCAACGTACTTTAGATTGTTATATTTTGATCTATACCAAAGCAGCATAAAATTTGCAATTCCAATAGCCCACTGAAAACTTTAAAAATGTGAATATCAATATACATATCATTTTTGTATATAATACATATATAGAAATCTAATGTCACTTATTAATGTATGTGCATGTGTATGAATAAGAGAAAGAGAGAGACAGAGACAGAGACACACTCAATTTGTACCATGGATCTTGGTTTAAAACTAAATAACAAATGGTAATGTTATACGGACAAAGCATTGTTAAACAGTGCTAAGTAATAAAATGAATCTGATCTCTGTTGGCTTTGAAACTCTCTGCGTTATAATGTGTAAATTCTGTTTATACATTCTTTGGGATGGTTTATATTTTGCAGAGTTTTCTATTTTAATTCAGCCGACAGAATCTACTAATGCTCAGGGTTTTCAAGTTTCTAGGATAACTTACAGAAGCAACAACAGCATGCATGTCACAGACTTTGTCCTGAAACTTAATGCATGGGAAAAGCAGAAAACAGAGCACTACTTACCACCTGAGTGGGGCGGGGGACCACAAAGCAGGACGACTCCCTGGCCTTCACGCACAGACACCGTACTTCTCATTTTGGTTTTAAAATTTTCAAGATCTGATTTGCAAACAAAGCAAAACAAAACAAAACTAAATTTTAAAAAGTAAAATCAAATCTTCATACCACAGTATTCTTCAAGTAACTTAAATAAATTTTAAAATCCCTTCTCAAGAAGGGAAATAGTCTCAAGAGGAGGAGACTATTTCTTTTCAGAAAAAAAACAGGATTTTGATTGCTTTGCTATGGCTTCTAGAAAGCTAACAATACAATGTAAATATGTTCCCATGAGTTCTGTGTTACTGTAAAAGCACAGAGCATCCAAAAACACAAAGTATATGCTAGAATGACCTAATCAGACAATACCATGATACAAAGGAGAAAATGAAATGTTTCAAACCAAAAAATATTCATAAATATGATTTCCACATCTGCCCTAGTGACTCACCATATCGTAAAAACTTTTAGCTTCACCTTGTCATGATGATAAATTATTCATGAATTTTCCTCTAAAATATTTGATCATAAACAGCCTAAGTAAATTTTGTACTACCTAAGATTATTGTTATTTATAAAACTACTTCCAAATATTTAGTTTCTGGGTATAGCTTGTATGTGTTTATGTCCTTCCCACATTCAGAAGGACATGGAAGAGGATAGATCACAACCAGTAAGAAGAAGTCAATGAATAACAGTAATTTGAATCTATGTATTATCTTTTATTTATAGATGTAAAAAAGCAAGTTCTTTTTATAACTACCCAAGAAATATTTTTTCAAGTGTTTAATAAAGTTTTTTTTTTAAACAACAATCTAAAGCAAACACGATTTTTATTACCAGTGATTATTTTTAGGAAACATAATTTTTTTTCCAAAAACAACGCAGGACTGAAAACCCTGATTCAGAATTTCGGCTTAAATTATGGTACAGAGAAAATCTATGGGCTTACTTTTTTAAAAAAGCTTAAGTCTATGGGGGAAAAGGGAGAAAGATCTACTGTCTTTCTAAACTCTGATTCTAAAAAGTATTGTGAATTGCCGTTAATATACTTTATGGTGTCACTTTCTATATTAGGATAATTGCACTGTCAATTTGTGAAAGAATAAACTCATTCCACACCTCTCAAGGGTTGATAAAATTGCTTAAGTGATGCAGACACAAAGGAAAGCAGTGCATGTACTTAGAGTACAATGTGGAAAAATTCAACTTTTCTTTGAAAAATGTAAAAAGCAAAGAAAATCATCTTAAAACTGATAAAACAATCTGCAAACATGCATCAATATTTTAAGTACCAGAATTCAGTGCATTGGAAGTTAACAAAGCTTATTGCTTCATTTAAATAATACTGAAAAAGAGTATTCAAATTGTAGGTTATTCAGTAAAGCAATTTAGCAAAACTCACATTACATGTGAGCAGAAAAAAAGGAAAATAATGCTTTTGGCTTCATTTTAACCATAGGTTACTCTCTAGGAATGATCTGATACAGCACTGTGACCTCTTAGATTTTAACCAAAGTGCAACATTCTTAAAACATTAAGGTTCTTGCATTGCTACTGAATTGGAACAGAAAACCTGGACCACCCAAATCCTTCTCAAGTCTAAGTCACCAAGTGCATCATAGTAGAACACAGTCTGTTCATGACCAAATAATTTTTAAAGTCTACTTTCTTGACAAAAACATATTTATCATCATTCCTATTTTCTGCCCAAATCCTTATTTGTTTGTTTGCTTAGTCTGATACATAATTCACTACCATGGAATTTTTTCCCATCACGATTTTAGCTACAATGTAAGAAAAAAGTCCACTCCACAGATGCCAATAATGTTCCCTCCAAAGGAAACTGTTTTGTCTGAGCACAGATTTACCTAATATGAATTTGTGCACAGATCTAAACACTTACCTGACATAGTATATGAGAGCAAAGAACATTGGTTTGAACATCCAATGTGTACAATTAATAGGACACTATTTCTGAGATGACTCTGATGTGTTTATGAGGGCTTTGTTTATAGTCGAGCCCTATAAATACAATGGAATTTTTGTTCAGGTAAAGCACCACCTCTTGAATTCTTACCCAAGAATCAAGAAATGGTTCAAGGACCACATTACAGCAGAGATTCTTCCTATAGAAGTGCAGATATATGACAAGCATTGAAAACTCATGAATTAGGATTTCTGATTAGGACTTCTGGGCTATACCTAGGGGCCTAAATTTTTTAAATGCTCATACCTAAACCTTAAGTATATCAAAAATTGTGACTTGTATTAAAATGTGTAAATTGCAATTCGGAGTGAATACTTTAAAACATGCCTCAAATTTTTTGGGACTATATGCCTATCACATAGAGAATCCATTAAACATTTATAGACTATTAAGGACAGAAAAGGAAGAAGTCACTTATTAAAAAGTTATTTGTTGAGGTCCTGCAAAACATCAGCCTATTTTATGTTAGGTTTTGAATTTCCAGGGCCCTCCTTTCAAGGACAAACCTGTCTGGCAAAAAGACTCTTGTGATTCAGATCTAGACTGCCCTCCCCTCAAAGACTCATACATTCAGAGGTGAAATATATCCATTGGAATGGGTCATGATGAGGGGTGTTGTGCTCATTAGTCGACTGATCCACAGATGAGTTAGTGGGTGAGTATGCTGCTAAAAGATGGGGTCTCGGTTAGAAGGAGGTCACTTGGGGCATGACTTGCAAGGAAATAGCTCCCATCTCGGGTCCTCCCTTCTCTTTCTGTGCTTTGGTCACCATGAGCAAGTTTCCTCCTGATAGGCCTTTCCATCACTCTCTTTCTGCCAACCATGGACTGAAACTTCTTAAACTGTGAGCCCATTTCCAAACTGTTCAAAATATCCTTTTAGAAAGTATTCTAGACACTATAATTTTACTGAATAAGTGATTTGCATATATTACATCAGACAGAGAGAAGCATGAGTGCAGAGAAATACATATGCCACAGTTAAGGGATAAGAGGATTTTCTATGCTTTGTAGAAACACTAGCAACTAGGAGAGGAAAGTAGTACACGTGTCTAAAATATTAAACCATTAAAACACCTACTGGTATATTGCATGAAGAATTCAAAGGCAAAAACACAGTGTATACGGTCCAATTGTGACAGGAATTATATTTAAAAAAAACTCCTGTTCAGGAATGAAAATAAATATAAAATAATCCAGTATTTATTAGTACAATATTTTCAGTGTTTTCCCTGTATTTTATCTCCAATTCTGGCAAACTCTGCCCTGATTCTGGAGGCTTATTGTATTCATAATTTAGAATCAAATAAATTTGATGGAAACAATTTCCAAAAAACTATTGCTACCATCTCACTTAATTACTATTGCTACCATCTCACTTAATTACAAAAAGGTAAATATTCTCACCTAGTATCAGACAGTATGTCATGAATGTCTATTCTCAGTACTTTCCACTAACATAGTACTAGAAGTTATCATCAATGAAACAAATGAGAAAAAACAAAGTTTTGAAAAGAGAAAAGTAAAAATACACTTAAATAATATCACATTATTGTCTAAATTAAAAAATCAGAAGAAATTTGACAGATAAAAACAAAGAAATCTTTTTATAATTGGATTAACTAGACCATAGGATAAAGTTTCTAACAATGAACATGCAGAAATCAAAATTCAATAGCATTCAATCTCTTACACTCATTCCAAGGAAAATTAAACAGTTATACATATATCAAAACCTGTAAAGGAACTACATACTGAACCTCACAAGGTATTGATTTAAAAATAGAAGGACATAAATAAATGGTAAGGCATATCATGTACATAGATTGCTAAATTCAATACAGTTGTCGGTTCTCCCTAAACCAGTGCTGGCAAACCTGTTAGTGCTTTCAACAGTGCAAAGGCCCCCACCCCGTGGCATGTGTGCCAAACATTACCACCACTGCCCCAAACTCATAGCTAAGTTTAATGTAGTTTCTAGCAAAACACCAGCAATTTTTTAATGTGGTGTAGACGCCAACAAGTTTATATTAAAATATATATGTAAAATACAGAAAACTTGGAGAGCTACTAAAGACAACAGAGTGGAAGAGTCACTCTACCAAATATTAAGACTCACTATGTAGCCCAATAATGAAGACAGTGTAGAACTGGCAGAGGGAGAGGCACATAGATTTATGGAACAAACAAGATCTATAAATAGATATAAAAACATGCTGAACTAATTTTTGATAAGTATACAAAATCATTTTAATGGAATAATAATAAATTTTCAATAAATGGTACTGCAGAAATAAGCAGGTAGAAAAAATGAACTTCCCTAAACCTTTCCAATATGTAAGAGTTAAACTGGGCCACAAACTCCAGTGTAAAAAATAAAACTACATAACTTTTATAGAACTTCTAGAAAAGATTACAGACCATCTTTGACATTTAGGAATTTCCAAAGAACGTTTAGCTATGATATCAATGTATGATCCATAAAAGGAAAGAACAATAAACTGGAAATCACCTAAATCCAAAGCTTTGCTTTGCAAAATCCCAAATGAAGAGTATGAAATGGCAAGCTATAGAATGAGAAAAGTATTTTCAAACCACTTATGTAATAATGAAATAAGTAAGAGCCCTAAATTTTAGTAACAGAAAACGTATTGTACTAGTCACCTTCCTGGTGCTACGACAAAAGTTCCAACACCCGCAATGTAGAGGAGTAGAGGTGTTTTGGCTCAAGGTTGCAGTGGGCCCATTCCAGAGTCAGCTGACTCCGATGCACAAGCAACACTGTAGAAGGTTATGGCAGAATAAAGCTGCACAACTAAGCACAGAAAGAAGAAGAAAGAAGGAGCTGCGGGTGAGAAAGTACTCTTTCGAGTCATTGCCTCAGTTACCCAACACTTTGGAACACCAGGATCAGCTTTAACACATCAGTTGATTAATCCACTGATAAGTATAGCACCCCCATGATCCAATAACCTTCCAAAAACCTCATCTCTGAAAACATGAGACTCTGTTTTAGATCCAAACAACAACATGTACTAACCAGTTATAAAATGAGCAAAAGACGTAAACAGAT